CTGAAAATGCACAACTCATTAGCCACAAGAGAACATGCCAATACCACCCCACAGAAAAAACAGTCTTCTATAGAACCTATTTCACATGAAGGGAGGGAGCGGTCTAGCTTTTACCCCTTCAGACTGCACCAGAATACATACTGATGCTCCTGTTTAATCGAGTTTTCCAATCGCTGGCAATTGCATTGCTGTTCAGGGTAACACTTGCATTGCAATCACACACAAGAGTATAGTCTAGCAGCTTTGGAAATAGGCAACTTGGGAAGCTGGTAAAGGCCACGAACTCCAGTCCATATTAGCTGTAACTCGGGTCACTGCTACTTGGTAGTGGGTTAGTGGCTTGCACAAAGTTCCCTGCAGTTCCCCTTAATACCTAGCTAACTTTCTTAAGACACTGTATGAGGCAAATTATACTTTCCATTATTGGAAACAGAGAAGAGCATAGGGACCTGTTCTGTGTACAGTGAATAAAAACACAAGGTAATGTAGGATAAATCCTTTGCTTTTCAATGTTTACTGATTTCTGAAGTAATTCTAAACCAGAATTCTGAACCAATTTCTTCCCCCTCCCTCTCCACAATATTAAATCAGTTTAATTTCACCCTCTTAAAAATAGATAAATTAAATACTAAAACAAAATTTACTAGTACATTCCCTGCTGATCAGTTGGCAATACTATTGTATTTTTGTTATAACAACGGTGTCTTTACTTCCTTAGATTGGAGGTTGCCTTGGCAGAGTTAGTTTCTTTAATTGATTAATTTTTATATACAAGTCATTTAACAGGAGACATCGGTAAAGGTCAATGTTGCTTCTTGTTTTCTTCCTCCAAGCTGTCAGGAGTAGTTAGTCAAGCAGTAGAGCAGCTTGCTATATCTGCATGGGAGCAGGGGCTGGAGTCAGACATTACCACACTGATGGCACTGGTCCAACCCTTTAACTTTGTCACCTTGTCTCCTTACCTAGCCCAAAAGCTTAGGCCCCTGTCTAGTTTGAATCCTGTTCCTCCACCCAGCACATTTCTTGTGGTGTTTTCAGCTGATTATTCAGCTGTTTTACGCAAATACCTGATTCAACTTAAAATAACATTAATTCAACTTTTGTATATAAAGGACCCAAATCTACAGTTCTTATTCAGGCAAAATAACTGAAATTCTGCCTAAGTAAGTATTGTAGAAGTAAGTAGGTTAGAAGACAGGAACGCTAAGCTTTTGGAGCCATATTGTACACAGGACACGGGAGTGCATCTCCATATTTTAATATTTGAAGATTTACCTAAATAATATGTATCCATAATCAACTGTATATTACAAAGGTTGTGGACAACTTAAAATCTAGTAATATCATTAGTAGTTATGCAAGATAAAAATCAGAAAATATTATTTAATTTATTCACATGCTTCATGGCATCAGTTGCTCAACATGGGCAAATCAGCCAAAAACATTGTGAGGCAGTTCCAACCCCTCTGCAATGAGCCAGAGGTAGGAGGCTAGACTTGATGGGCAGTGGATTTTGAGACACAAGTTACTGTATTTCTTCAGTTCCTGGGCAATGCTTCTGTGGGGCAAACTCAGTCCTACACTATATTATATATCAGCTGTAACACAAAAGGATGCTAATCACATCAGTCAGGAGGTGTATTAGTGCCTTTCAGAGGTCTTGGAGGAGCTAAAACAAGCATCTCAAAGAAACATGTCAGATAGAATACTGCATTTTATACTTATTTTATTTTGACTTCAGGGCTCATCTACAGAGCATACAAGAGAGGAGCTTTTAAAGCTTCCTGTCAACACGATTGTAATAGCTGCCGTGAGACAGAGTCAGCAGACACTGCTTTAAGAATTCTTAGTTCTCATGGAAACATGTTTGCAGATGGGGGAGGTTGTTAAAAACCACCCTGTTTATACTACAGAAGGCATCTGGGCGGGAGGAAGAAGAGAGAAGCACTCAGTTGTTCCATTTTTTCTGCTCCCACAATGCAGGCCTTTGCACTCTGTACGTGCTGTTTACAAGTGTATCCCATTTTAATAATACAAGATATATTTGCAGACACAGAGCTGAATGAACAACAAGCTCACCAAGCTAAATATTTATTAGCATTTTTTTAAAGTCTTATGGGACAATGCTATTTTTAACATCAGCAATAATTGTGTAGGTCACAGAATAGGTCCAGCTTTTCCCAATAAGAGACAGCAAAGAGCTAATTGTCTCTGCCTCATTATTAGTATAAGATTTTGTTCTTTATAGCTATAAGCAAGATCTTCCTTAAACAAGTGCTAAAACTGTTAAATACAATTTTAAGACTTTCAAAAAAAGATTTTGTTATACTGTCATACACCAGTGGTCTAGCAGACAGCTATAAACTGCTCTCTTCTTTTTGGTAGTGAATTGTCTGCTACTTTATTTCTAAATTTGGTAGACTTCCTGCCCAGAGAACACAAGTCTCATTTACTTTCCAAACCATCTGCTCTAAGTAATGGCTTAACCTAATTTCTGAAGGCAGATAAAAGCAGGTGATAGACAGTGAGACAAACAGAATACAAGATCCTGTGCTGTGATATACAGGTTTTGTTGCCATGAATCAACGATGGCCATGTTATTTTCAGATCTTCTAAAAATGTATAGATAGTGTGGCACAGGATAAAAATCCTACCACATAATCTGTATAAAACATGCACACACTATGGTAAAACTGTTTTACAAACTTCTACAGAGATTCTAAAAATGAATTAAGCCTACATTGGTGCCAAGGACTAAGAAAGTACAAACACATATGATAAAGCCTTTGTTCCATACCACAATATTATCTATCTGTACACAGGTGGATACAGAGGAAGATCTTCTCAATCAAGATACCCTGATACAAGAGACTCCTGAAAGCTAAGGGAAAATGTCTTTCCCTCTGTGAGGTAGAGAACTATGGCATTTACTTAACCAGTAAAATAGATTAAAACCAACTGCAATACCTTTTCTGGGATGGCTGCATTAACACTGAAACTTTATCATCGAAGAATTTCTTCATAGCAAATCTGTCTAAAGCCTGATCAGCACTGTCAGGAGAGAGACATACATAATGTGTT